AGTTGAGGTACATTGGTTGCAACGCTGACAGTTGTACCTCCGGTCGCGTAATTGTGACCCCCGTGGATACTGTAAAGCATTTGGCACACCGGGCGATGCTCAACATTAACCTGCCGCCAGCCTCTGCCAATACCCACGGCTCACAAAACGAAACGAAACAAAGCAATGCAAGGAGGCGAACGAGTACCGATCCGCACTCCCGAAAACCCTGGGCGACAACACACGGGCTGCCGGTACTCATACTACCGTACCGTACCGTAGATAACAGCATATGTAACATACTCAAGTGCTCGAGTACCGTACTACCGGTAGTACTAGTACTCGAGTACTAGTACATACGGTGCTCGATTATCGAACCAAACCCGTCCCAACCATCCAACACAACCATCAAAACCCCTTCCTGCGCCGCTCCCCTGCCATACCCTACCCTACCCTGCCCAATCCAATCCATACACTCTCTACCGTTTCAACCCCCCAACCCCCAACCCCCAACCCCCACCCCCAAGACCGGTAGACTAACTTGTTTAGCGAAGGCATGGGTCCCCCCCCCCCCTATTTGCCTATCGTATTGTACTCGTACATGTAGCTTATACGCCATGTCCCCATGCCAGCGTCTCCGCACGCCATTTGGTTTCTGGAGTATTGCTTTCAAGTACCCGGTTGACGTACCGTATTTGTAGGAGGAATACCCTGGGGATACTCATTTGTCACGCGATGGATTGGGTAGTTGCTCAATTCTTCAGGGTGTTTTAATACCCCCCCCCAGTGGTCTGTGATTATGTATGATACGTTAAGGGTAGATGATATCTTGGTAGGTGAGTAAGCGCTCAAAGCATGTTTACAGGGAGATTAAGGAGTGTTCCATTTCCGAAGAGGTATTATTACTGGGACGTACAGTACTAGTACGTCTCGTTCCCCAAACAGGCTCGGGTCGTCATTGTGCTGGGGTGGAGTACTGTATCGTGTCATGCTCTTACAGTATCATACTACCGGTAGTACGGTAGGCCGACCCAAGTACTTGTAAAAAAGGTCGCCAAACCATACCAACCGAAAGGAGGCTGCATGTGGGGAGCATGGGATTAGAGAATATTGAAAAGAATCGGAAAAGACTCAAATGACCCAACCTCTCTGTTCTGACCCACCAGAAATCACCCATCCAATATCAACAACCCGCATTACACCAACCACATGTCCTCGTAAATCTATTTTCTCCCCACTATTACCACATTTACGTCCGCTACTTGCCGACCCTGCTGCTCCCCTTTGGGAACGTAGAATACAGCCTTGCAGCTGGTCTTGAGTTGGTGGCTGGGTTGGTGGGAAGTGGTGGGCTTTCCTTTGATAGGCCTTCTGCTTGCTGAGCTGGAATGGGATGGAATGGGCTGGGCTGGCGTAAATAACGCAACTTCTCCTGGAGAGCCCTGTCTTGTGCCTTCCCCGAGGGTCTAGCATACGGTGCTCTAGAGGGAGAGAGCCCAAGAGGGGGAGGAAGGAAGGCGAGGGGGTGCTACATCCAATATGCTGTCCAATGCTGCCCGCCGGGGGCGGCAGTGACGGCGATGGAATTGCCTTCCATCCCTCCAACCTGTCATTCTGAATCATCTAAAGTATGTAAATAGTTATTATGCTCATCTAGCTTACTCGTACTGACGATTGCCTTCCGCCTGCCACTGCTACCCAACTACTGTCCTTCGTCTCGGTGTCCTCTACTATAGTTCACTTCGTATGTCTCATTCCGCACTTCCCTTACCGCCCCAAGCCCAGGGCACCGTCATGCCGACATATCACCCTCCCAAGTTTCACTCCACTCGGCGGCGAGGACTCACCCCATATTTTGCCCCGAAAAGGCAACAACGAGACTGCATGAGAGTGAAGGGAAGGAAGAAAAAGAAAAAGAAAAAGAAACTTGCTTTAAACAAAGCAGGTTCATGTGCTTTTTGCTTCTTGGTTTTCCGCTCGTTACTATACTCTCATTCGCATAGATTGACAAAACCCGATGGGGGGAAAAAAAAAGAGAGAAAACAATGACGATAACAAAGTTATTGGCCATTAAATTGACATCTCAACAACTAGAGTAAAATATCATGTCCGGTCCATTACTTCCCTGACTACCCTCACAAGAAAAGCAACATTTTTCCCCCATGCAAACCAAACCAACACCAGTTAACGTATGGATCACAAAACTATGTGATGACAGATACACCATGCTAATTAACCCTTCAATTCCTACCTCCCCACAGTAGCGCCAACCATTACTTAGGATTACCAAGATTTTTTATAGTGCATAGGGGTTCAACGATCGGATAGTGAGGCAGCTAAACGTAATGTAAGTAAACTGCATGCCATGTGAGAATGACAGGGGCACTTACGGAGGACTCTTGCTCAATTCCGTCTTCAAAAATACCGGTACTCTGGTCAATTCACGAACTTCCTGGATGTAATCTCCTTTCTCTTCACGAAGGGTGAACATTTGTAAGTACTTGTCTTCGTTTGAAACCTCCTGTCCGTCTGCCTTTTCACTATCGTGAGCAGCCACAGATATTTTGGGATCAGAACGAGTACGGTGAGGGGTCTGCGAAGATGTGGGTGAATTCTTGGTAGGTGAGCCGGGCATGCTCTGGGTTGGCCTAGTGCTAGCCGCAACAGGAGCTAGAGTAGTTGGTCTCTCAGTAGAAACGCCCCCGTCAGAGTGATTCGAGTCGTCTTCGTCGTCAAAAAGGTCCTGCTCAGCATCGGGGTTTCGCGAAGAAACTTCCATCATCCTGCGCTGTATCTCCTCTTGCTCCTGGGCAGCCTTCGCTGCAGCCGCGGCTTGGCTGGCGGCAGCAGCGGCATTAGCAGCGCGAAGGGCAGCCCCACCCTTGGGGCGCTCATCTTCCGGAATGTACACATTGGACTGAACGCCCTTTTCCCAATACAATTCCAGCACGCGATTGGCTTTATCAAATTCTGCCTTCTTCAATGGAAGCTGGTCGCAATGCACACGCTTCTCGAAACCATATTCGGGAATCAAGACATCGAAAGCTGACTCGTAAACGTTGATTACAATAGCCTCACAAATCAACTCTCCGCCCTGAGCCTGGCGTCTCCTGTCGACGGCACGGCAGAGCTCGATATGAATGCTCTGCTCGATCGCGTTCTTTGCCGAATCCTTCTTTACATTGCATTGTTCGGCAGCCTTGGCAAGGGCCTCCGTATCTTCAGTAAAGTCAATCGTACCATTAGACAGAACCGCTTCTAGCTGTCTGTGTACAATGATGTCCGCGTAGCGGCGAATGGGGCTAGTGAAATGAGTATAGGCAGGGACATTATAAAGATAATGCCCATGCATCTCGGACGGGAGTTTGCTAGCCACAAAGTACTTGGCTCGTTGCATTCCCTTGATGAGCACTGTTTCCATACCCTAAACTATGGTAAGCACTGTTTCCCCTCGGGTTGGGCTCAGATAATCATACCTGTCGAACAACGGGATCCTTCAAACGGAAAAGACTGGTTTGCAATGCCGCGCTGCTAGAGACGTCGATATTCTGATCATAACGATTCATACGTTCGGCAAAGTTCTCAACACGGCGCTGGTTAGGAGGCGAATGGCGGCGAAGCAAGGCCTTATCAGGAAGACCAGCGGCAATCTTTTGCGCGACAAAGCTGTTTGTTTTGATGAATAGCTCCTCGACAATCTCATAGGCAGGGCGGGTTTCGAAGATGTTATCCACAACCGGAATATTCTCATCATCCAGTTGGTAAACCAAACGAAGCGCGGGAACATCAATGTTTTCCGCTGCATATCTCAGTTTACGGGAGTTGCGAGCCATTTTCTATCCAGTGTTAGCGTAGGAAGTCACCAAACGAAGGAGCAGGGTAAATCATACATGGAGCACAGCAACAGCAACTTTAAACTCCTCGGAGACCTTCTCACCTTCAGCACCGGATACAATAGCATCCACATCTCCGTACAGGAAGTTAGCGCTATTCTTGATTATACCCTTACCAACCCAAGTCTCCTCCTCAACTATCTCATCCGTGTCCGCATTAACAGTAAATACAACACTAGTGGTGAACCTATCTTGCCCTTCTTTCAAAGATAAAAGATCCTCTGCGAGCTTTTGGGGCAACATGGGAACCAAACGATTGACCAATTCCACGCCGGTGCCCCGCTTTCTTGCCTCCCGGTCAACCAGGGAGTTTGATTTAACGAAATGGGCAACATCAGCAATATGGACACCAATTTCCCAGGTAGTATCACTAGCTTTCTTGACGTGAAATGATTGACTGATGTCGCCAGCGCTCTTGGCATTGATGCTAAATGTTTTCACATCACGGAAGTCCTTGCGGGCGGCAATAACCTCATCCTTTTCAGTCTCGACTGACCAATTGTCGATAACATTGCGGATGACAGCTTCAGAAAAGTCGTCGGGTCCAAAGTTGTTGTCCCGAAGAAGAGCATCGGTTTCGACTTTGATGTCACCCATCTCCCCGAGCTGCTCAAAAAGAGTACCGAAGGGGTGGAGAGATGTGATAGGCCAACGCTTGATACATGCGACAAAGATGCGATTGGCATATGACTGGTGATTCTCAACAAAGTCACGCGGGGCTTGCTCGGTTGGGATAGCAATCAAAGGGACCCTCTTATCAGTCGGCTTGAACCACACAATCTTTGGTTTGTCTTGTGTTCGCTCGGGTTGGTTCGGTCGTCCGGAATGGCCCTCACGAGCTTGTCGTTCTGCCTCTTGTTTCTCCTTAGTCGCCTGACTGCTAGGACGCAGTAGCCCCAGGGTCCTAAAAAAGGAGAAATGTCAGCTATAAATCAGATTCGTACCAACGGTAACAACGTACCCAGAAAACATTTGGCCAGCAACCCGCTCAATAACGGCAACAATGTGACCAGCGAAGAGGGGCTTCTGCTCATCATTGACCTCTTCCTCCTCGACCAAAAGCAAGCTCTGGCCCTCAACCTCAACGTCGTCATTCTTCTTTTGAGTCGGTCTCTGGCGAAGGGAACCTCTCCTCTTGATTCCGGTTCCTTCTTGACCTCCCTCATTAACAGAATTTCCGTCACCACCGGAATTATTGTTAGAGGGACCAGATGGCCCCCTCGTCTCACTAATATCCTTACGCTTCTTCTTCTCTTCTTTTTCACGCTTCTGACCCCAAACCTCATCAACATCAAGCAGTTCAACGGCAACTAGATCGCCCTCTAAGGCACGATTACGATCCTTACTTCCACAAATGAAGATATCGGCATCCAAGAGACCATCTTGAGTGGAAACATAGGCATCACTTCGGTTCTTCTTGTTGACTCTCAAAATACCCGATACCAGCTGCCCATTACTCAACAAGGCGGGTAAGCTAGCTTGTGGGAGATATGGGGTGAACAAAGTCTTCCTCTGTTGTTGCTGATTTGGCATATTCTGACCACTAGCCTGGCCGAGGTTACCCAAGTTCAACGACTGAGCATTAATAGCCGCCTGCTGTAGTTGTAGCTGAGTCAATTGTTGCTGTTGCTGCAGGAGACCAGCATTGAGGATTTGGGGCTGGCCGGTAGCGGGGTTGATAAAGATACTCTGACCACCATGACCCGGGAGCATAAGGCCTGGTTGAGCAGGAAATTGGAAGGTGCCAATAGAAGCTCGGGAACGATGCCCCGGCTGAAAACCAGAGGTGACCTGGCCCATCCCCGGGTTTTGGTTAAGATTCTGAAGATCAGCAGACTGATTTTGTTGATGTCCGTGAGACTGGTTTTGATTCTGGTTACGCCAATTACCGTCATAATTCCGGGATCCGGTCCTGTTATGTCCTTGAAAGCCAGAGTTACTACCACGACGCTCCACATTTCTACCTTGCTGTTGATTACCTTGACCTTGGTTTCCAGCAGTTGAGCCAGCCCCTGCATCACTCGTAGCCATGGGAGGAGGAAACTGGAAACCGCCGATACGCGTACCACCCACTGGGCTTCCACCATTAACGCCGATGGCCACACTCTGGCTTCTTCCGTGACCGCCAATTCTGGGCCTAGGGGGAGCCGGTGTTGCCGACTGACTAGCAGTTGCCGTCTGTGCTTGAGTAGTAACAGATGTAGAAGTGGGAGTCTCCCCGGTAGCCGGTGGGGAACCGGCGGTCGCGGGAGAACCCGTACCACCAGCTGTTGGACTTGATCCATTGGCCGTAGAAGTGGCAGAACCCGCGGATGTGCCCCCAGTAGGGAACTGGAAACTGGCCTGGCCTCTACGTGCCTGCGCAAGTTCGGCGGCCTTTTTCGCTTCGGGAAGAGCAAGGGAATGTCTGCGCTGATGTCCTCTTCCAGCATCACCACCCTGGCCTCCGGTATTACCCGAGGGCCGACGTTGTGGAGGATTATTATTTCCACTAGTCGAATTAGAAGTGCCCAATGAAAACTCGCCAAAAGTACCAGATGAACCAGAAGAAGGGGCAGGTGGGGGGCCAGTAGTGCCACCCATCCCGGGCATGGCAGATTGATTCCTTCTATGAGACGATGGCTGGGTGGGAGCTCCAGGAGGAGCAGCGTTTTGTTGGTGTTGCTGTGGAAATTGGAATCCGCCTTGGGCATGCTGAGGCGAAATATTAGGTATCTGTGACTGCATTGGATTGAACCCTGGAGGTAAGTGACCCTGCCCCGGGGCGAGGAGACCCATGTTTGCATATTGTTGATGAGCGGAAAGCATTTGCTGTTGTTGTGCTTGCAGTATTTCGATTTGTTGCTGAAGAGCCAACTGCTCCACTAAGCTTCTATTAGCTTCGTCCCCACGGCATGTAACCCGGCGAGATCAATTGACAACACAATTAAACGATAGGAATGAATCATTTTTCCTTAATCCAAAACACCACGTGCAAGGGAGAAGACATACTCATTAGCGGAGTAAGTTCCGAGGGCGACCTCCTATGTGCAATGTGGAGCCTTCGACCTCCGGCTCCAGTAACATTTTGTTGCTGTTGCTGTTGCTGTTGCTCCATTTCAAGAGAGGGATGGGGAAAGGAAACTTAATGCTTCTCCTCCTAAAGGTAGGTAGTGCAAAGACGAAAGTGTTAGAACCCCATGGGCCCGCAATGACTACTAGAAGGACATTGACTTACCAGCAGAAGTAAAAATAAAAAAAATCTGTACGAAGGCAAGCCTAGGACCTATCAGCAGTGCCCCGTATGTGACGGCACCAACAAGATATGACGAAAGAGTAACAATTCCACAACGCCACTACTGGAAGAACGAGCTAAAAAAGTACCCATATTATTAGAGAAATTTCCCAACAGGCTAGCCTGGTGTAGCAATAAGGAAGTTTAAATTTTTGTCATACCAAATTTGTGTAAACGAGATTGTTTTTTTTGGTTGGCTTTTAATGTTTTTTTTTTGTTTTCTTATCTGAAAGCAGTCGAACTTGTAAAAAAATAAAAATAAAAAACGTTTAGAATTAGAGAGTAGTGTATGGATTGGTCGTTATCCAAAAAGGAATTCAAATAAACTTCGTAAACGGTATTGTATCCTTCTTCCAAATTCGTGCGTATCGTGTCCTCGTACAAACAGATCGATGGCTGTCGATAAAAAAAATATCAAGAGATAACGATCAAGGAGAGAATTTCTCTAACAATAGGTGGTAGAGACTCGCTGGGAGGATAGTCTGCTAGCTAAGTTTGCCGGCTTTTGGTGGGATCAACGCACAAGCAAGAGGATAACTGCTTGGCGGTGCCTAATTTCTGCGTGGGAGCGCTGTGGGGACGAGACGAGGATGATGAGAGGAGCTTAGGGAGAGGCGGAGGTAGTTATTGCAAAGGAGGGAGAGAGGAAGGAAGAATCACAGCGAAGGGTAGGAAGCGGAAGCAAGGGATTGTTAGCAGAGAGGTTGTGTCTTTTCCGTTGAGGAGTCGGAGACGGCCTGTGGGGTATTTCGATTGCCACTCTTTGCACAGCTGTCCGTCAGATTGAAAGCGGGCAAGATCGGCTGGCGGGTTAAGGAGAGAAGGCTGGAGAGGAGTGGAAAGGTTAGATTGAATGAGCAGCTGAGAGAAAAGAAGGGAAAATATGATTAAGATTGGGCAATGCGTGGCGATCAGGACCGGGTGCAGGGGGGGGGGGGGGAAGCGGACGAGGTGAGTAATGGTGAGTAATGGTGAATGGCAAAGGGGAAGAATCAAAACCCGATTGGGAGGAGCCGAACTAGGATAGAATGAGGGGCGTACGTGGGTATTGACAGAAGATAGGGTAGGGGAAGAGGACGCACAAGCTCCTGTTGGGGGATTCATTTCGAAGGGGGGATGGGAGTGGAGGGGAGACGGTGGAAAGGAAAAGAGATGGAAGCTTGCCCATCTCGGATGGATATTGTGTCGACCCTTTGAAAATCGGGACACCGGCAACAATCAAGAGCCAAGAAAGCTGGTAACATACCTTTGAGTGTTGACAAGAGCACTTGGTGCGAGAGAGTGAAGAGGATTATTCAAGGAAAAGAAAAATGAGAGATGGTAGAGAGAGAGGGAGAAGGAGGGAGGGAGAGGGAAGGAGAAGGGGGGAGGGAGGGATAAGACAAAAGTGCTGGTGTTGAAGGAGGAGAAAGAGGGTAAGTAATAATGAGAGTGAGTCGGGAAGAGGGGGAGAAAGGGAAAAAGAGAGGAGGAATAAGTTAGTCGAGAGCAGCGCGAGGGGTTGCACTTTGCAAGGTTCTATCTGGTGGTGGACTGTCAACAGCCAATGCTGCATGCCTTGGGCTTTCCCGACGCTTGGCGTGCTGATATCCCTGGTGGGGAGCTCCCTGATCGGGCTTCTTCCCTTGTGTAAGCTCGATGGATGAGCTTTTAAGAGTATTTAGAGGATCGAAACGGTCTGCCCACCGCCTCTTTTCAATCGTTTGAAACGGAAATCCGACAATTCTGCGGAAGGGCTTCCTTTTCACTTCTTTCATCCTGACGGCTTCAATTCAGTGCTTCGAGGGATCGCAGGATAGGATCCTCCATGTTACAAGATATCCACCGCTATGCCAGCTGTAGTGTCGTACGCGGTGGATGAGGGCGAGGACAGTCACTCGGTCCATCTTCTTTTGATCTTAGGGCAAAATGTGCTATCATGACCCGATGTCCCCAACCTTCACAAAAGCAGACCCAGCTCTTGTTGGATTAGCCCCCCCTCATCCCTTGCGTTGGCGGAGCCCGACACTCTTGATATCGGAACTTCCCGGCTCCTTCCCCACAACTTCCCTACAGGTCGACTACATGTACCGTACTACGAGTATACTCGTACAGTGCTCCACAGCCTTACCCAATTGTTATTTTTCCACCAACTTCATCCGCAGTGAAGCACAGGGTAGCGTCCCTCCTCTAGGTTGCACGAGGTTGATGACACCTCCTTTAGGAGCCCTCTCGCTGCACTACAAAATTCCGTGCAACATGGCTTGGGGATTGAAGGAGATGGACGAACTCTCCGCACCCCTTCTCCAGAGTCCGACCCTTCGGAATTCCGACGTGTGGGTACAAGTACTGTACTAGTACAGGTATTCCCTGCTAAAACGCCTGCCAACCCCGACACTCTGCAGGAGCTTGCTTGTGTCACCTGACGGCGCGTCCCGTGATTCTATGCAGATGTTTCCATTCATGCGCTAGAGAACACCTTACCGGATACGATCACAGTATCGATCCGCGATAATTAGCAGGGGAATTGCTTCCAAATATGCAAAGATTGTTTGGCCTGTTTCAACCGATTACCCGCTCGCCGTCATCACCTCACGGGATACCGGATGTCATCAACGAAAAACTCTGTACTACATTCTCTATCTGACCCTTTTCAGCATATCCCTCCACTTAAACATCTTCTTTACTTGGCCCTACAAAATCCCCGGAACGATAACATTCCTCTTCTTCTTGTAAGAACTGCCAAATTCTTTTCTGTATCTCCTCTCCTTCTTCCGAGCCCAAAGGAACATTACAGTTGTCCCAGTAAGGGTGAACAACGAAGCAGCCCAATTTCCACCGCTCAACACCCAAACACAAACCCACGACAAAACCTCGAAAGAGTAATTGGGGCAAGTAACAGAGTCAAACCCATATCCCTTAGGAATCTGTCTCTTGGTACTATTTGCAGGCCGAAGGTTACGCAATGCGAGGTGGGTTTTGAAGTTAGAGATCTGGGCAAACACCCAAAGTGCCACCATACTGTAGACTATAGCAGGATTGTTACCGGCATTCAGCACAACCGGCCACCAGGATGCTGCGGGCGAGGCAGCAGGTGTGTAGAAGGAATAGGCAAGATTCACCCCGGAAAGGATCCAGTAGTGTGCCGCGTTCCTGAAGATATAGCGGAAGGGCATAGTACCCCCCGAAAAGCGGTGGATAAAGAAGGTTTCATATTCGCGCTTGAGGAAATGAAGAACGACCAGTGCGCACAGGAGTGTTTGCGTCTGGGTTGGTGGAGGAAGCACTTGATCGGGCTTGAGTGATGGGCCGAATGGGATATATGAGAGGGGGTTGAGAGGGGATGACGAGTAGATGTAAGGTCGCAAAGCATAAAGGAGTAGTGGGTGAATAAAGAGAGGCCCTAGGTACTCAATCACGAATACGGTACGCCAGGCGACTTGTGGACCTATAGAAATAACATTAAAAACGCCAATGAGCGACTATTCTCAATGTTCAATGTGGGGGGCAAAATATTGAGCTGAGATGGATATACGGCACTCCGTACCTAGATCCTTGACAAAGACCGTGCTGCCATCCCGTAATCCCAGTTCTTCAACCATAACATCCTTCCCACTCTCCCTCCTTACGGTCACAACGCTGCCATCGCTTCCCTTTGTCAAGCGCAACCGATCTCTAGAAAGTCCAGTGTAGGCCGACAAACGGGTATAAAGGGTTTCGGCAGTAGCAGTGGCAAGGTCAAGCCTAATTGTAGACGGAAGTTTTTTGATGGGACGACCTATAGTTCCCCATCAGTGAGCATGCAAAGGCGAATGGATAAAAGGAACCAAATTCCAGCTACAGCGCACATACCCCTTGGCTTAATCTGTAGACCGATCATAAGGGGAACAATATGGTATCCGTAGGACCAATTCTAAGGTGAGAGAAGTAAAAGGAAAGAAGAGACACCTTTAAGTGCGATTGAAGTGAAAGTAAAAGAAAGTGAGGAAATTTCAAAGTCTTAAGTCTGCCTATGAGTGCGGTAGAGTGAGATACCGCGGCTGTTGTTGGGGGTTAGGAGCGGACACAGCCTAACCCAAAACAATCCCCTACTCAACAATTCCACAAAGCCACAGCAGCGACAAATCAGATGCAGCTCGGGTAAAGCATTCGCACCTTTCCCCGACATCCACCAAATCAACAAGGGAGGCTCAGCGAGACCCAATACAGACATCTTTCCTAATTCGACAACGCCAAGCTCCCTCCTTTCCCGTAAGGGCGCTCCACTAAATATTTCTGACTATGTTGCTTACTCGCGCGTCTTTGCCAAGAATACCGCCGTGAGCCGATATCGAGGGGAAGAACTTGAAGTGGCGATTGGACAGGAAATGAAGAAACCAGAGTTGTTGCACTACACAAATAACAACATACACAATATCTGATATCGAATGGTCTGTTAAAATTAGAACAACTCGCTTATCCTGTACAGTCGCAGATAGGAGTCGGTGTGACTCACACCTGCGACCATGTATGACACATAGATATTTCCTTGGTTGGGTGGCTGCATACATGACTGAGACTTGGGTATAAAGGAACGGGAATTTCTCGTAAGTTATCCATCGACCCTCTCCGCTATTTTCCTCGCGATTGAAATCTCAACACCACGAGAAATCATCGTGACTCCACCCCCCCTCTGCCCCCCCCGGGGGGCACTCTCCCTCACCTCCCCTCTGGGGTACTGGGCCGCTCCCCTTACCTCTTGGGCCCTTACAGTCTTTACCTCTCCTCCTTTTGGTCTACCTTTGCACCTCGCTTAGGTTTTCCACGGTCGCTTACGTTGGCTGGTACGGGAGGCCCCTCGCTTCGGTCAGTCTAGTTGTGGTCGTCCGGGCTATCGATCGTCTAGCTCCCAGCCCTTTCACTCTGTCGGTGGTGGGATCCCTTCCACTAAGTGACGCTATCTCTCGTTGAACAAGGGACTACATGAGAGACGCGGTAAGACACCAGCAGTGTTTGAGGACTTGGACGTGGCTTTTGTGATCCTGGGTTTGCAGCTTCTTAGCCGCATCGTCTCGGCGGCCCTCACGGCCCGGTTTTGTTTGCTTCCTCCTCCCCTTCCCGTCAGTCGGCTTGCACCCTACTGCTGCGTGGCTGGTACCCTACTACCTGGCTGGCACCCTACTGCTACCCTCCATGAGCCGGCACCTTACTGCTACCCTACTCAGCTGGTACCTTACTACCACTTCACCACCGGCCAATCGGGCCAGCCTCACAACCCTGATGCC